CCGATTTAACCTTTTCTTCTGGCTTTTCTTCTTCTTTCGGCTTTGCCTCTTCGGCCGGCTTCGCTTCTTCCTTGACTTCCTTCTTCTTCTCGACCTTCTCCTTGGGCTTTTCTTCCTCCTTTGGTTTAACCTTTTCTTCTGGCTTTTCTTCTTCTTTCGGCTTTGCCTCTTCGGCCGGCTTCGCTTCTTCCTTCCTTCTTCTTCTTCTCGACCTTCTCCTTGGGCTTTTCTTCCTCCTTTGGTTTAACCTTTTCTTCTGGCTTTTCTTCTTCTTTCGGCTTTGCCTCTTCGGCCGGCTTCGCTTCTTCCTTGACTTCTTCCTTCTTCTTCTCGAGCGTTTCCTCTTGTGTTTCCTCCTCTTTCTGCACTTCTTGCTCTTGAGGTAACACTTCGTCTTTCGGTGCCACTTCTTCTTCTGGCTCTTCTTTTCCTCTTAGTTCAATGATAGCTTCGACCACTTCTTCATCCGCTGTTTCTGTTCCATCTGGCATCTTCAGTATTGTCTCGAGATCAAAGCTCTCTTCCAGTTGTTCCTCTTCTTCATCAGGCATATCCACTTCCACTACATTGCTTGGCAGTCCTTCCCCGAATTTATTTACAGCTCTTATCCTGAAAGCATAGAATTCTTTTGGGACCAGCTCACTGCAAGTGTACTCCTTTGTAGTGGTTTTCGCCAATTTCCTCCATCTACCACTTTCTGCTGTGCGTCTTTCTACAATGTAGTGGATAATATCACTTTCATCGGCTTGTGGAGCATCCCATTCCACCGTTACCGTTGTTGGTGTAAGCCTGGTTCGACGGGCGTCTTTCGGTGCCAGAGGTGTGTTGACCAATTTCAATTGGAAGGACACTTCTGTTTTTCCAAACTCATTTGAAAGAATGACAACGAATTCGCCTTCGTCTTTCTCCTTCAAATTTTTCACCCTAATGGAAACACTGTCATCGTATTGATCTATGTCCGTTTCCAGGGTCATCAATTGTCCCTGATGAAGAAGTTTGATTTGTGGAGTTGGATAGGCCGTGTAATTCAAGTGCAGATCGAATGGCTTTCCAATTTGATGAGTGATGACAGGTGGAACTCTGAAAAGACATAACATCAATTGTCACCATACACTCCATTACCACTAAGTAAATTAAAAAGTAAAAGGTCTATATAGTAATAAATATAGAAAATGCAATGAAAACCAACTTGATGTTTTTTACCCTAGAGGATTATTCTAGAACAAATATTACACAAACAATCATTACTTCCACAATATTATTTGTAAACTTTACAAATAAATGTTCTCGTGTTTGCGGTCCAGTCAGAACAGATACGAGTTGGTGCATAAGTTCTGTGAGCACTACACTATGACTTTTCACCATTACTGCAGTTTAGTTCTGACTTGAAGGGGTCGAGCGTTCAGCACTGCCATATCAGGGCAGAATCGCCGCGCACTCGGCATGTGCGACGCGGTTGCATACCGACTCAGTTCTTGTTAGCCTTCACTGGCACTGGAAGACAAACTGCTCATCATTTCCGAGGAGGTTCGAAGCTGCAGTAGTGTGCCACTTTCCCCACTGAAAAGTGCACAGGAGCGAGGCTGGTAGGGTAATGGGGCCCAAGTGCCGTCTCCATACTTAGACCGCGCTGTCCTCATGTGGGACCAAGGTCTAGCGCTCGCGTTGACACCGAGGTCCCACAGCGAAACACGCACACGGTGGAATGAGAGAGTGCAGGCAAGTTATGCGTTTGTCTATGGCTAGG